CAAACAAGTATCATTAATGGCCTCCTTGCAAAATTCATTAAATCCTTTATTAAGCTAATTTAAAATTATCTAATTTAAACTTTCATCAAAGTTTGATATTTTATTATTAAAGAATGATAGATCATTCTAGCACAATCCATTATATATCATAAAACCAAGTTAACACCGTATACATATACCTAAGTAACATATCTGACAAGTTGAATTACATGAATATTTACATGCATGACAACCATCAAAGGGTTCTAAATTACCATCATCGCAATCTTCTTCTGGGACAGTTAATCCATCTCCACAAATACTTTCACATCGTATACCAATTAATTGATATCCTTAAACACAAGATAAACAACCATTTATAGTGCAATTCGAACAGCTAGCTTGACAAGATAGTTAACAATTGTAACATCCATCATATAGTAAACTATTCATGTCTTCACATTTTTCTTATCCAATAATAATGTTATCATTGCATATTTCTATACATTTATTATTTTTTTGATCTAATTAATAATTATCAATGCATTCAAGACATTTATTATTTACACAAGTCTTGCAGATAGTAGTTTAACATTAGAATTTACACGCATTGCTACAACCATCATAATTGATTGAATTAAAATCATCACATTCTTCTGAATTTCTATTAAAAGGATCAATTGCTAAATAACCATCCCTACATATATTTCTACAAAAATAACTAAAAGGTTAAAATCCCACTACTTTACATTCTAGACATGTTAAACCATCAGAACTACATTTTAAACAATCCTCTCTACATACTCTCTTACACTAATAGCATCCATCATTCTAGTCAAAATCATATCCATCATCACATTATTCTTATCCAACAACAATAGAATCACCACAATTTTCTACACAAGTTTTTGTATCAATGTCAACAATCCAACCATAAGTCTGACATTAATAGCATAACCCTCTCATGCATTATGTACATTAGGTTTAACATTCAAGTTTACATTCATAACACCCATCAAATTATATCAAATTACCATCATCACATTCTTCTGTTCCACTTATGATTCCATCACCACATACATTTAAACAAGGTAAAATTGTAAATTCATTACAAGTCAAACATTATTTTGGACATTAATATCTACAATTATAACATCCATCATCTAAAATATTATTACCATCATCACATTCTTCATCCCCATTCTTAATTAGATCTCCACATATAGGAATACATTAATTGTTTTAATTTGTAAATCCAGTTAAACATGAAAAGGGTTAGCAAACTTAATTAAACCAAATTATAGAATTATCACCACATTATTTATAACATTTATACAGATTTGAATCTTCAATGTTTGGACATGAGACACAAATATCATTTAATTCAAAATATCCAGTTTAACAAGAACAATTAAGTCCATTTAATATTCTATTTTCAAAATTATTGCAAGTTAAACAAGAGTCTTCAGAGGATAAAAAACAATTTGAACATTTTTGGTGGCATTGCATACATGTTTAATTAGATTTATCAAAATAATATCCATTTACACAATTACAAGTATTACCTATTTTTTCAACTTTATCTAAAATGATGCATTCATGACAATCCATATTTGATGGTCCAAAACATTTAGTACATAAAACATTACATACTTAACATTCAATATTAATATTATCATCATAATAACCATCATAACATAAGCATTAATCATAAAATAGATATCTAAATTTAGATTACTCACAATGAATGCATTCATTTTTCAATTTGCATTGTTTGCATTTAGGATTGCATTCTAATATATAATATAAACTTATTACAATCACAGATCTAATTCTATTCATCAAAATACTCATTTATTTAACATTATAATAGACACTTTGTAATGAAAATTTAATAAGGATATTTACAAGTTAGACATTCAAATTCATTAAGACAAGTTTCACATTCTTAAGGACATTCTTCACATTTTAAATATTCATCATCATAATACTAAGTAGAACTGCATTATGATGGATTAAGTATTACTACTGATGCATCAAAAGTATCCATTATTTAACAATTATCTTCATCTAAACACTAAAGGCAATAGGGACTACAATAATGAACTACAATATAATAATGTGAGATTGCACAATATTAATCTAGAACATTGTTAGATGGTCCATAACATTAAAATGAAATTGATAAAGTAGGCGAAGGAGTTGTAACATTAATACTTATTGTAGAATTCATAGTGACTTATTGTTCAGTTTAATTATTTACTGAATATCCCAAATATCCTAAAACACCATCAAAATTGCATCCAAATACAGCGTCAAAATATATAGTCAATGAATGGTATGCTGAATCAATAGTATATATTTAGGAAAATCTGGCTGTGGCCCAAACATATTTTCCTCCATAAACAACATTTGTTTCAATATATGACCAATAGATTTCATCACCTTTTTAAAAGTCTTTACTTGTATAAGATTCTAAAACAAAAGAAGACTTTATATTATTAGGAACTGTAAAATCATAGAATTGTTATATAAAATATTTTGAGTCTAATATTATTGGATTATGTTTACATTTAGTCACTTAATCATATTTGATGCAAATATTATTCTAAAGTATTGAAGTTTTTGGACATAATCTTACACAGTTTCCTTCAGATACTATTTTATACCCAGTCACACATTATGAACAAGTATAATCTTACTCACATTTTAAACAATAAGGTGGACAGTGTGCACTACTCATTAAAATGTAAGGCAAAAACCATCCAGAATTACCAGATCTAAATTTAAATAAATAATCTTTACGTAAAGTTTCCTTTAATTGAAAAAGTGAAGCCTCCTTATTCTACATAAAGATTAGTGTATAATTATATATATTTTGCAGTTTAGCAACCACTTAATACTGTGTTAGATGTATAATAAACATTAAGGTTATTCCCAATATATTATGTTCCATCATAGTATATTGAAGAATAGTAGGTATCATTTAAATATATAGAAATTCCTGAATTTATTGGAGTTGCATTACACATATAAATATACAAATACACTCCTAATGGATATACAAAATATGTAGTATTAACTATAGTGCTTGCTCCTTCATAATATTTAAAAATTCCAAAAAATGGGGAGTTTTTTTTATTTTCATGATTCAAATATCTTGGATCATAAATAATATCCCACCTTATTAATTGAGAATATTAGAAATTGAATTAATACAAATACAAGAAATAAGATGGTTAATAATATTTACAATACCTTTTCCTTCTATCTGTAGACCCAAAGATACAATAATCTAAACATCTTCCACTAAATAACGATTTTCCTTTTGGACATCGACAAATTCCATTTTATAGACTTACATTTGAAAAACATGTTGTACACTAATTATAGGCATCTCCTGTACATGTTTAGCAAGTAGGATGACAGGAAATATATGAAAAATGGATATTTTTAATTAATGCTTTTGTCTACTAATTGATTATACTGAACTTTATATCAGTATATTAAGTGGTATAAGGAAGAGATATTTGATATGTTCTTACTTCGTGTTGGTCAGAATTGCATGCCCCATTTTCAAATTATAATGGATTCTATGTAGAATAGATAAATTAATAAGCTTAATTTTCGTATTCAAATATCAGTGCGTCATTATTCCATTATGTAATATAGTAGACGTCAAATACAATTGTATGATTATATGAATAACGATTCTAACTATAATATTAGTAATTTGAAACAGTTGTCATTTATGAATCTTATAAAATTAAAGCTGTTCCTGTTGGATTAGTACAATTTTTATAGAGGGCACTTTTTGTACTCTAATTTTACTTAAATCCAAATGGGCATTTATTATCTGAACAATAAAGCAAAGAAGCCTGATGAAAGTAGCTATAATAAACTGTCCATTAAGCAATAACAATTTGTAATTGAAAGAAAATTAGCATATTAATTAATCTGTATATGTTTATTTAAAAAATATCAAAAATGGATAAACATCTTTAAAGATTATCATTGTTAATACAATAGTAAAAGATTGTAAGCTGATTAATAATAGAATCAAATTTATTAGAATTAAGTTATTTATAGTTTAACCTATCTATTAATCTGTTCCAAACTGAATCATTATATAAACTATTTTCATTTATTTGTTTTATAAATTAATGCCAGAATAATTTAATATAGAAATATAAAAATTATTGATTTTAATATTAAGCTTATTTAATCTTTAAACTTTTTTTTAGTTTCTTTATTTATTTTTATTAATATATTTTTAGTAAAATAAAAAAAATCTTTATAGTTTTGAATTCAAGAAGAATATACTTTTCTGTTCTTTAATTATTTTAATCCAATTTACTGAAAATTGATGAAGAATTTTGTTTTCATTAATGTAGAGATGGGAATTGAATGAATTAATTATTCAGTCTTTCACAAAATAAACGAAATTTTCAAAATATTAATGATATTAGGAATAAGATGTAATAATAATATATTAGTTTAATGAGTTATTCTAATCTCTCTCCTTTAAGCTAATCAAGTGAATCTAATTCATAAAGGAATAAAAAGAATATTGTGAATTTTGATGTTATTCATGATCCTGTTTTGGAGAAAAATCATGGTAACAATTAAAGGATTGGCAGATCATCTTTAAAGAATTAAAAAATGTAGAATATGGTGAAAACAGTCAATAAATATTTATAAACTTATGAAATATATTTAAAACTCTTACTTGGAAGACGGATAAAAAGTAAAGATGAATAAAAGTTGAATAATAAATTTGGTCGATTCATTGGATAGATTGATGAAAATATCTTACCAGAGGCAGTATTAAAGTAAATATTGATAATTAATAAAGGTTTCCTAATCCTGATTGTTTATAATGCGAATAGTTAGAAATTATGTCACCTATCGATACAATCCTCTTTATAGAAAAAGTTCTTAAATTAGACATGAAGAAAATAGACAATTAAATATTTATGAAAG